GGCTGGGGCCCCTGCGCAGCCCCCCCGGGCACTGGGACTGCCCACATCCCTGGCGATCCCGCTCTGCATCCCCAGCCAGCTGTGCCCAGCTGTGCCCGGCTGCTCCAGCACGTCAGCTCCAGGGCCACAGCAGGAGCTGGTCACGAGATTGGGCAGGGGTGGGCTGGGGACAGGGACGGACAGCAGAGCCACAGCACGGCAAGGAGAGCCCAGCAGCGGCAGGATGAGAGGGGACCTGGGGTCAGGACCAGCAGGCAGTGCCCAGGGCAGGACTCCCAGGGGGCAAAGGCATATGGAGGGGTCTCTGCGCTGACGATGGAGCAGGAGAGTCCCCAGGAAGGCAGGAGGCTTTGGGGGATGTTAGTAGCAGCAGCGTCTTTGGGGGATACAGAGAAAGGTCCCACGGTTGTGGGCTCATCAGAAAGACCCCAGGCAGGCTGGGCAGTGCCGAGCCGGTGGGGTGTGCTGGGAAGAGGCATTGATGTGGCAGGCAGGCAAGGGGAGCATGAACCACCTTATGGGGCTGGCATCAAGTCTGTTTGTGCAGGGACCCCAGAGCAGGGCTGGGGGGACATGGGGCACCCCATGCTGGGGGTTCGGGGGCCAGAGTGGGAATCACGCAGACCTCTTCCTCTCAAAACCCAACCTACCAGATGAGGATGGTGATGACGAGAACAGCAGCCAGTATGAAGAAGGCAAAGATCCCGAGGGACACCAGGATGGCCATCTTCTCCAGGGGGTCGCTGCGGTCTGGGATAGAGAGACTGTCATGGCCGAGGGATGCCACATCCCCCAGCATCCGGGGGACCCTACTGCAAGCTCCTGGGTACCCCAGCACCCCAGACACACACGGGCATGGGGCAAGAGAGCCTTCCCATAACTCTCAGCCACACGTAGCAGTCCCCACTCCTGCCACCTCCAGCTCTACTCACTGATGGGCTCAGGGTTGGGAGCCTGGGAGGGCTCCTCAGCCAGGCTTTCCAGGCTGGCGTTTGTAGTGGTTTCTTCACTTGCCATGGTGGCCGGGTCTGGAAGGACAGAGGGGATGGGAATCATTCACCCAAAATCAAGGGCAGCACCCCAGGGACCCACAGAGAGGAGCAAAGAAGGGTGCCGCTGTGCCCCAGTGGTCCCATGAGCCCAGGGGTGCCCCCGGGGTGCTACTGCTGTTGTGGGATCCCCGCTTTGCCCCGAGGCTGTGGGAAGCAATACCCAAACGGCAGCAGCACAGCTGCAGCCTGCCGTGGGGTTGGGAGATGCTTTGCCCCCTTGCAGGTCTGCCTCCCACTGTGAGGCCAGTTTTTGGATAGTGCATGGGACCAGCTTTTTGGGTCAATTTTAAGGGACCCCAGGAGCTGGGGCTTGCTCTGGATGATATTTCAGGCAATGGGTGCCATGGGGAAGGGTCTGGAGAGGGGCAGCCCAGGGTGCTGGAGGGGCTTTGGGGAGGGATGGCACAACCTGGTAGGGGTGCTGGGGGCTTTAGCCTGTCCCCCTCGCACCTCTGACCGGCGTCGCCCGGGCCTCGGCACTCCACTCGCTCCAGTTCCCTGCATCCAGGAAATCCTTGGCGCTGACTTGGACCACGTGCTCCAGCCCAGCAAAGGCGTCCGTGATCACCTCGGAGAGGTTCACCGTCTCCACCTGTGCCGGGCAGAGGGGAGCTGTGGGGCAGGAGGGTGCACCCCTCGCTGCCCTCCCTGGCCCCGTGTCCACCCTGCTCCCACGCCAGCTTTGCCTTCCCTCACCCACCGCTTACCACGGACCAGGAGCGGTGGATGATGGGCCGGTACTGGAGCCGAAACCTGAGCTGGAAGTGGGGCTCCTTGGGCCAGGAGGAGGGGTACTTCCAGCTCACGTGGAGCCGCCGCGGGGCCAGGGGGATGGGCTCCACCACCAAGCCCTCTGGAGGGTCCGGCTTAACTGTGCGGGAGAGGACAGGGAGCCC